TATGACATTAGTGTCACTGTTTTGAATCTTGCAGCTCGCTTGTGGTCAGTCAGTCGTCTGTGTCACGCAAATCATGCAAGTCACGCTTGAACGTTGTCTTTACAGTTAATGTTTGATCGTAATTAAAGATTCCAGGTGCTAATTTCGCACATCATTGTAGACAGCAGGAAGACGTGGGGAGAGCGATTTAACCTGAGAATTTTGTAAACAAAGATATCTCGTGGTTTTAGCCTCGCAGGAGTTGGACAGCGTAAGTCATGATTATTTTCGGTACTGTTTTGTTTTCCATCTCCTTCTGTTTGGTCATTATGTTTGTTTGGAACTCAAATTTGAACTTTTCAGTTTGTCCGCCATGTGCCATGGGATTGGATGTGATTTCAATAAATCTGATGCAACTGTCCAAGCGTGGCACCTTGGTTGAAACGGCTTCCCCTCGATTGCCCTCCAATCGCGGTCGAGAACGCGACAGTCTGTAGAGATTTTTACCAGTGTTGCTGAGTTTAGAAGAACACGTAATTTTGCCGGTAAACAAGTTCTGTCTAATGCTGTGCAAAATTTTGAACCGAGATTGGTTAACTATGTTTGGATTTGGATCCTATCATTATGAACGTCGGTGTTCTATATGCATGATTGGGTTATTTGTTTGCGTAGCTTTCATTTGGATGGAATGGGATTTTTAACAATGGAATGGGACATCCATTCAGAAATCGGTTAATTACGATTCGGTCAACTTGTTGTTATCATTGAAGACTCCGGATGGTAGCCCCACTGTCTTATTGCCACTTAAGTCCCTACAAATATATATAGGTGGGTGAGTTTAACTTCTTGTGTTGCTCTTGATTAGTTTTTTGTAGTTTTCACACTTAGGTTTTTATGGCATCGAAAAATATAAGAATTAAGACTCAGTTGTTGAAACCACCATTACTTTGCACTTGAATAGTTACGATAACTCTTTTGATGGGGTTCATCTTAAAGCTTTATCCTTGTAGTTAGATTGCTCTAATTCTCTATCTTGGCCCGCAATTCTTTTTCAAAATTCAAAACCGTGCTTTGAAGATTAAAGGTGTTTTTTTTTTCCTTTCCGAAAAGTGTAACAACTGAAGATAAATAACATTGCAAATAAGATTCTTGATACTATTATTGCTTTGGGTGATAATATGAGCCGAAATAGTTCGTTTTTAATATCCTTATTTAAACTCTCGCCGTAGTATAGGTGTGTGGTGTATGACGTAAGTATTCACGCTGTCGCTTGTCAGCCTCGTATTCATATATTACCTTCGAGCCGATAAATCGTGGGAAAATAGACCTCTGTCTAGTTTCCTTCGCGTCTTTAAGAGACTTAATCCGACGCTATACGCTACAGTGGTGACGAAACTGGAGAACGCACAGCCGACGTCGACGAACGGAGCATAAGGTGAAAATCCGGTTTTGAATCTACGACATCAGCCCAACCTAACGCAAGCTACTTGGCGGGAAGACCTCGTTTTGATGTCTTCAGCGCTGAGTCTGAGGATATCGAGAGCTTTCTCGAACGGCTGTAAGAATATTTCACCGCCTACAGTATTAAGAACGACATGGACAGTCCCGGTAATCGAAGAGCAATTACTCTTAACATCTATTGGAAGTGGTGCTTATCGAGTCTTAAAGGATTTGTCATTCCCGGACGCACCGAATACGAAGACTTTTTACTAGCTTGCAACGCTGTTGCGTGGTCATTACGAACCCATGCGCTTGTAAGTCGCAGAGAGATACCGATTTTCTGCAAACCAGAAACCGGGGCAAAGCATCGTGGAGTGTGAGAGAGTTAAAACGTCCCACGGGAAAATGTGAATTCACCAATGTGCAATTAAATGATATTCTACGCGATCGTTTCATCTGCGGGCTTCGCGCGGAGTAGACTGAGCAGAAATTATTATCGGCCAATTTCACTTTTCAAGAAGCAGCGGACGCTACAATCGCCCAAAAAATGGCCCAGAAGGATGTACGACACTTTGGAGGAAATCCTCACGGTGAAAGTTCTTTGTCGTGCTTAAATCAGGTTAAGCGTGACAACGTGTGGTCACACGGTCACTCAGTGGGTCGACGTCACCAAAGGAAACGCTGTTTTCGCTGTGGGTCAAACAACCACACCCCAGAAAAATGTAAATACAAGGATTTGAGTGTTTTAACTGCCATTTATGGGGTCATAGTCCGAGTGTCGCTATGCAAAACCACCACCAAAAGAGATGGCGAGCAAACAACATGTACATTACACGGAACAGGATTCAGAAGCTGGACTGCAAGAGAACATGGGAGATGAATTTCTTGAGTCCATTTTTACCCTGGAAGAGAGTCAGAAGTTAGAGCTGCGTAAGCCAGGACTTTCAGCGCCTACTCTGGAGGTCTCTGTGCAGATTGAAGGCGTAGAATTCCGAACAATGGCTGCAATGCGTATTTATGCTCGTTATTTTCCTGTCATATTTCTTGCGTTTTTTATGTCAGCATCTATTTCAGTCGACTTTTCTCGTCTTTACAAAGTTTCTCAATTGGAAGAAATGACTTTTAAGAGTTCACCAGAACAGTTTCTTTCGCTTGAAGTGAAAACTGTTTTTATTGCGGCCGGTGTGTCTATGGTACGAAGCATGGATGTCTTTCTTTTTCTCTTCCTGCTAAAATTGATATAACCGTCCATACGGATGTTGAACTAAATCATGGACCAACGTCTTCATCTTCAGGCCCTATCGTGGATGCCAGAGTGGAAGTACGTTCAGGGTGCGTGATCAACAAAGGTTTTTAATGTTCAACCCGCCATGACACCTTGTCCTCACCAATTTGCATTTCAGGACGGAATGACAACAATCTTGTTCGTATTCTGCTGATATCAACTCGGCCATGCTGTAGTCCACCATTACGTTTCGGTGTTCGGAATGCTCGCTCACTGAAAACCAAGTATCGTCGCTATGTGATCTAATGTTATCTCGTAGTATTAACCTTCTATCTGTGAAAAATGGCTTTACAGTAGAAAGGTTTTTCTCAGAATTCTCTGCGTTCTAAGAGGAGTTGATTGTTACATCCTATCAATTCCTTCTATGTAGTGATTTCAACTTTCACGTCGATGACAACTTAAATGCAAACACTAAAAAATTTTCTTTTTTCTGCTTATCTGTCATCCCCTATACGAGTTCATTGGGAACACACTTTCGAACTGGTCGCAGAGATGTGAAAATGCCTTTTTTGCTGTGAAATGCGCCCTAACGTCGGCGGCAACTGTATTGGCGCACTAAGACCCTAGATTCCCTGTGGAATTTTCGGTTGACGCTTCTCCATATGGTTTAGGTGCCGTTATAATGCACGTTTATCCTAAAGGAAACCGTCACCCGATTGCCTACGCGTTACAAACTCTGAACGAACACGACGAAGCATTCAGTTACAGCATCAGATTTGTTCAATCGAAGCGAAATGTAGTAGCTGGTGCGTCATCAAGACTGCCCTGACCTTCCACCTTTAACGAAGAGGATGCTATCTATAGAGTGGAAGAACGTCTGGTTTACTCGTTACCTATTACGCACAAGGAGATAAACTAGGCTTCACGGGTTGACCCAGTACAATCCAAAGCGTTAGAGTTTGTCAAACGAGGATGGCCGCATTAAGTGGAAAATCTGCGCCCACAACCCTTCCTTAAACGCCGACTTGAGTTATCTGTAGAGCAAGATTGTCTTCTGTGGAGGCTACGAGTAATCATACCAACAGGGTAACAGGAAGACATATTGGAAGAGTTGCGCACAGGTCACCCAGGCATTTTACGGATGAAGGAAATGGCTTGCCCCTACTTATCGTGGACGAACATTGATCAGGAAATTGAACAAGCTGTGAGAAGCTGCGGCAGCTGTCAAAAAGTTAGAAACCACCTGCAGTGGCACCTCTAACACCTTGGTTATAGTCGAGTAATCCTTGGTACCGAGTTCACATTACACTGAGGACGAAAATGGGCATTACTTCATTCTCGTTGACGCACATTCTCGCTGGCCTGAGATCTACTTCATGCAGCAAAACACATCAGCAATGACAACTATAGCCATTTTACGGGAACTATTCGCCAAATATGGATTGCCAGTGCATTGTGTAATTGACAACAGTCCTCAATTTCGAAGTGAGGAATTGATGCATTTCATGAAAGTCCATGGCGTCAAACGCAGGTGCAAATGTCTTAGCTGCTTGCAAATAAATGTGATAATTCCAGATAAAATTTTCAAAACTAAAATTTTCAAATGTGATTCTATAAATGTGTGTACTATAGGCGAGTTAACTCGGTGTTGTGAATGAAGACTCAAGGTAATAATATTCCTATTTGGTTGTCATCTAAGTACATACGAAAAGGGTACTTTGTTTTTTATCTTCAGTGAAGTCTATTCTTGCCTATTAAGACTCAGATTTCCAGGTTGAAACAATTAATAGTGTTTTTTTAACCTTCCGTACGAATGGCTGGATTTTGTGCTTTCTAACGTTACGTTAGTTGCGTCTCTTTGACCTTTCAGTTTTTTGCGCTGCTTAAAAATAAGTGTTGTGATAAATGCAATACATTGAATTAATACAGTTTGAATAATTTGAATAATGGCTTACTTACAGGTGAGTCAACTTGGTATTCATGGCGGAGACTCCTGATGGCAGCTCTTTGATTTGGTTACCGTACAAGTACCTGGTGTTAAAAGAAATACAGTGTGAGGCCCGTTCTTCTGAAAGGAAACACTTGCAAGTGCCTTCCTCTACATACTGGCCTCGCCCATATAAGCTGATAAAACATCGTTAGAAAGGGAATAGAAAATAGGATTTACGAAACGAAGGCCACCGACATATGCTAGGAAATGATCAGTGATTAAACTGTCCAAATACAAACCGTCCTACCCTATGTCATTCTCTTCATGGTTGACTTCACCCATTAAGCTTGAGGAGCATATTAATCATATTAAGTAAAAACTGACATTACACTCATAATATCAATAATTGGCGTGGATATCTGTTACTTACAGTGTGACCAACTTAGTGTTATAATTGAAGATTCCAGGTGGCAGCTCCTTTATCTGGTTGTAACCCAAGGCCCTGAGAAAAGATATTTCCTTGACTTTAGTTAATATTATACTACTTCTTGTGTGTTGCTGCTGTTGAGTACTTTTTTCGGTCGTAATACAGTTTGTTTTTGCCGTGTCCGGGTCAAACAAACGCTTTTACTGATATATCAAATTGATATACATCAACACTTTAGGTATGGTACTATCTGAAGTGCCTACCTCTACATACTGGTCACGCTCACGCAAACTGATAAAACATAGGACCACCGACATATGCTAAGAAATGATCATTGATTAAACTGTCCAAATACACACCGTCTTACCCTCTTTCATTCCCTTCATGGTTGACTACATCCACTAAGCTTGAGGAGCGTCTTGATCATATTAAGTAAACCCTGACATAATATGAAAAATGGGCGTGGATATCCGTTACTTACACTTCGATCAACTCAGTGTTATTATTGAAGACTCCAGCTCGTGGTAGCTCATTTATCCGGTTGTTATCCAAGTCCCTAAGAAAAGATATTCCATGATTTTTGTTAAAATTATATCACCTCTTGTGTGTTGCTGCTATTGCGCACTTTTTTCGGTCGAAATACAGTTTACTTGTGCCGTGTCTGGGTGAAATAAATATATGGGCTAGTGAGTTTAACGTTTTGTGTTGCTCTTGATTACTTTTTTGTAGTTTACTCATTCAGATTTTGTGTGGCATCGAAAAATGTAAGATGTAAGACTCAGTTGTCGACACCACCATCACTATACACTTGACTAATTTCAATAAGTCCTTTGATGAGCTTCCTACCACAATTGCTGATGCGTGAGCCTTTCTATTCGGAGCACTAAAAGTCTTAAAACAGAGCTCCAGTTAGCTTATTCTACTTCCTATTATTCCGGTGAAACTCTTCGCAGACTTTTGAATAGTTTAATACAACATTTCAGGACCACTCATTACTTGGCTGGTAGGGGTAAGGAACAGAGACCTGTGGAGGGGAGGGTTTGTTTGAGTGAAGAGTGAAGAGCTTTTCGCAAGCATTCAGCAAATAACTGGATTCTGGGAACATCACGATGGTGAGCCAGGATAAACATAACCTATATGATCTTTTACTCCATCTTGTTCTTTACTGGATTTTTCGACCATCTTACCCTCACCTACCTGCTAACCACAGCCAGTAGATTGAAACAAAGTTCGCTCAAATTTCAATAACGGACTAAGTCGGAGCGAGTAGAGGAAATATATGACGGTAGTAAGTGTCTATTGGAGAGTTGCGATATGAGCTTGATGGAGTCTTCCTAGGCAGTCGCTAACAAATATCTGTTTTGGTTCTCGCGATGGTGAACTTAGAAGTAATGTTCCTCACTCGCACCGAATGTAGCTTGAATAACTCAAAAGCTAAATCACGCATTGTTTGTTGTTTGTTGTCTCATTGTTGTCGTTCAACAATATTTGAGTATTTTAAAATTAATTATGAGAACGATAAAGATAATGACAGTAAAGATACAAAAATCGACCATAATTTTATGAACTGCCTTCTTACAAGTGGGTCAACTTCTTGTTGTTACTGAAGACTCCCAATTGTAGCTCCTCTATCTGGTTTCCTCCTAAGATCCTGCGAAAGGATAAGTCATGGATTTTCAGTAGGAATTTTTTAAAATGCTTCTTTATAGATGACGACGGCCTCTTAATTTGAAAAAGTTTTCGCTCTCTGAGGGCAAAATGATGAAAACGTTTCACATTGACTGATTACTTACGTGTTTGACTAAATCCACAGAGCATAAGACATTCGGCAATTCTTAATACATCGAACATCAATATTAACACAAGCATAAACATTGGTCACTTACAGAACAGCCAACTCGGTGTTGTTTTGGAAGACTTCAGGTGGTAGTTCCTTTATTTGGTTGTATTTCAGGTTCCTAGAAGGAGAATATATCCTAGATTAAGCAAGGTTGAACATTATACTTCTTGTTTATTCTTACTTTCTGATATCTTTATACCCGGGGAAAGTATAACTTTAGCCACAATATAAGTGTATACACATTTGGTGTTAACTTCACTCCGCGGGAACATTGAATGTAATAAAAATCGTTCAAGTAAAATTAGAAGCAACCCAATTTTCCAAGACTCGTTGAGTGACTCAATTTAAGAAAAACAAGGTAAGAATTCAGGAAAAATTCTAATCTCGCCTACTTTGAGAAAATATGAAAGCAACTTTCTTCGCTCTCTATAACGTGAGCAGCAGTTATCATCAGAGTCGAGCGAAGAGCCGTTTAACTGTCCAATGTTATGAACAAGAAACGACAATTCGACTCTTTGAATTGATGTTACAAACTGCAAGACTCATGTTGTGTTCACATTTCACTTCATATTTTATGGTAATATCTTGTCGGCGTTCGGCTCAGTTCACTAACTATGCTTAAGTTGTGAACTACTCATATACAGAATACCAGCAGCTTTTGACAAAATTACGATCGTTGTCATCCAATCCGGTTGCCTTCAAAACGTCATTGTCAACGTTAACAGAGTCTTTCGTTAACGTTAAAAGAGAGTCTTTAATCTGAAAATGTATGCTAGTTACAAAGGTTGCTAAAAGCCTCTTTTTGTTTCTCTTTTTCCTCTGAACCTCATAAAACAAATTTAATGTATGTCTCATACTTCTCCCTGCCAACCGAAAAAAAAGAAAGAAAGAGATATGGTGTGGATATCTGTTACTCACAGTTCGATCAACTCAATGTTATTATTGAAGACTCCAGGTAGTAGCTCATTTATCCAGTTGTTATCCAACTCCCTAAGAAAAGATATTCCATGATTTTTGTTAAAATTATATCACCTCTTGTGTGTTGCTGCTACTGCGCACTTTTTTCGGTCGAAATACAGTTTACTTGTACCGAGTCTGAGTCAAATAAATATATATAGGCTAGTGAGTTTAACGTTTTGCGTTGCTCTTGATTACATTTTTTGTAGTTTTCACATTTAGATTTTGTGTGGCATCGAAAAATGTAAGATGTAAGACTCAGTTGTTGACACTACCATCACTATACACTTGAATAATTTCAATAAGTCCTTTGATGAGCTTCCTACCACAATCGCTGATGCGTAAGCCTCTCTATTCGAAGCACTAAAAGCCTTAAAACAGAGCTCCAGTTAGCTTATTCTACTTCCTATTATTCCGGTGAAACTCTTCGCAGACTTTTGAATAGTTTAATACAACATTTCAGGACCACTCATTACTTGGCTGGTAGGGGTAAGGGACAGAGACCTGTGGAGGGGAGGGTTTGTTTGAGTGAAGAGTGAAGAGTGAAGAGCTTTTCGCAAGCATTCAGCAAATAACTGGATTCTGGGAACATCACGATGGTGTGCCAGGATAACCTATATGATCTTTTACTCCAGCTTGCTCTTTACCAGATTTTTCGACCATCTTACCCTCACCTACCTGCTCACCACAGCCAGTAAGCTGAAACAAAGTTCGCTTAAATTTCAAGAACCGACTGAGTCGGAGCGAATAGAGGACACATATAACAATAGTGAGTTTCTATCGGAGAGTTGTGATATGAGCTTGATGGAGTCTTCCTAGGCAGTCGCTAACAAATGACTATTATGGTTCTCGCGATGGTGAACTTAGAAGTAATGTTCCTCACTCGCACCGAATGTAGCTTGAATAACTCAAAAGCTAAATCATCACGCAACTTCGTAGTAGACCCCGAAGGCAATACTCATTGTTGTCGTTCAACAATATTTGAGTATTTTAGAATTAATTATGAGAACGATAAAGATAATGACAGTAAAGATACAAAAATTGACCATAATTTTATAAAATGCCTTCTTACAAGTGGGTCAACTTCTTGTTGTTACTAAAGACTCCCAATTGTAGCCCCTCTATCTGGTTTCTTCCTAAGATCCTGCAAAAGGATAAGTCATGGATTTTAAGTGGGAATTTTTTTAAATGCTTTCTTATAGATGACGACGGCCTCTTAATTTGAAGAAGTTTTCGCTCTCAGAGAGCAAAAAAATAAAAACGTTTCACATTGACTGATTACTTACGTGTTTGACTACACCCACTGAGCATGAGACATTCGGCAATTCTTAATACATCGAACATCAATATTAACACAAGCATAAACATTGGTCACTTACAGAACAGCCAACTCGGTGTTGTTTTGGAAGACTTCAGGTGGTAGTTCCTTTATTTGGTTGTATTTCAGGTTCCTAGAAGGAGAGTATATCCTAGATTAAGCAAGGTTGAACATTATACTTCTTGTTTATTCTTACTTTCTGATATCTTTATACCCGGGGAAAGTATAACTTTAGCCACAATATAAGTGTATACAGACATTTGGTGTTAACTTCACTCCGCGGGAACATTGAATGTAATAAAAATCGTTCAAGTAAAATTAGAAGCAACCCAATTTTCCAAGACTCGACGAGTGACTCAATTTATAAAAACCAAACAAGGTAAGAATTCAGGAAAAATTCTAATCTTGCCAACTTTGAGAAAATATGAAAGCAACTTTCTTCGCTCTCTATAACGTGAGCAGCAGTTATCATCAGAGTCGAGTGAAGAGCCGTTTAACTGTCCAATGTTATGAACAAGAAACGACAACTCGACTCTTCGAATTGATGTTACAAACTGCAAGAATCATATTGTGTTCACATGTCACTTCATATTTTATGATAACATCTTGTCGCCGTTCGGTTCAGTTCACTAACTATCCTTAAGTTGTGAACAACTCATATACAGTATACCAGCAGCTTTTGACAAAATTACGATCGTTGTCATCCAATCAGGTTGCCTTCAAAACGTCATTGTCAGCCTTAACAGAGAGTCTTTCGTTAACGTTAAAAGAGAGCCTTTAATCTAAAAATGTTTGCTAGTTACAAAGGTTGCTTAAAGCCTCTCTTTGTTTCTCTTTTTTTCCTCTGAACCTCATAGACCATGAATGTCTCATGCTCCCTCCTTCTCACTACCAATCGAAAAACAAAAGAAAGAAAGAGATAACACTCTTACAATTTCGCTGTCGGGAGGGGCAAGTGTCGTGGAACTGACTGTAAATGTTTTCCCCTACATTCAATGCGGGTAACTGCACGCATGATTCCAACCGCAGTTTCACACCTGCAGGGATTAGGACACCCTAGAATTTAACAAGAGGATACGTTTTCAATATCATGCTGTTTACTGAAAGTCAGTGGAGCTTTTCGTTGTCTCTGGTTGGCTCATGCAAACCTAATACTATTCCAGGGTAAGGAACGAAAAATGTTGTAAGGTCAATAAACCTTTAGTGTCCGCCATTCAGTTGCGAAGAAAGAAGGTAAAAGCTTTGGGATTTGCGCATTTTACTAGCTAGGGATTCAAAATTTGCAAATTTGCGATAGGTTTTCCCCTTGGCCTGATCAACTTAGGAACAAATTTTGTTACCAAAACTCACTTTCCATAACAAGATTGATTTCTTTCTTGTCAAAACCATCCTGCCTCTTCACCTCGCAGCTGTAGTTGTTTTCTTCAGTAATGGTCAGCTGATATTTGACACTTGTACTGTTCTGTACCACAATGCCGTTCTTTCTCCAAACAATGACTGGTGCCGGTGCGCCTTGTGCTGGGCACCAGAGGGATGAGAAATGGTTTGAAAGAACGGACTGAATTTTGGCCACTTTATCCAGGTTGGCTTGGACTGGAAGAGGAAAAAAAATACATAGCAATTACGAAAGCAGTCGAGTATAAGAAACATGAGTAATGGCCATTTCATGAGAACTTTTAAACTTACAACACATCTAATTTGCCTTTTGGTGGTTAATTTCAGTGAGTCAATCAGGACTTACCTGTTGTATTGATTGTTTTGTTACTGTATGAACATCTGAAATGGTAATTGAATTTAGCTGTTTTTCCTAACCACAAGCTCCGTCCACTGGATCGCACAATACCAGAAATGTTCCTTCCACAAAATACACCAAGAAGATTGGCAGACTTGCTGTATCCATCACGAACCTCAAGATACACATCATCAATGCATGGTGTTGCATGTGAAGTCTCCAAGCTGAAGTTCAGTTCCACATAATGTCCCTTTGGAGCCTGCAAAAGTTTACTTGAGCGGAACGATGGGACAACTCTCTGAAGGCGTACTTCCGCTATTAGTGCAACTGCAGAATCAAGAGAAAACGAGAGGATAAAGCAGGAGGCTCCTCGCCCTTATCTCCAGAGATGTCAATTTCACCAAAGCAATCTCATTTCAAGATAATATTAAATGGCGTGAAGCTTTCGTGCGCTAAGTGGAACAACACAAATGTATGACAAATTCAGCCTCGTCTTAAGCTCTTGTATATCGTTATTCGAATGCGTATCCTGCTTTCCGCAGGATACGCATTCGATCTTCTACCGTGTTTTGGTTTGCGGTTAGCATTTCACAGATGAAAGTTTAATTAAACGACTTTTGACAGACGGATTGTTTCCCTATCGAAAGTAAATGACACAATGCCACGGGCGCGCGTTTGATGCCGAACAACAAGTAGAAGGATTTATTTCGGAATGGACGAGGCTGGTTTTTTTTAACGACTTAAAGGATGATAGTTTTTCAGTACCAGTTGGTCAGTGAACTTTGAGCGAATAGAATCGATAATTCTTTGTTTTGTTAACATATAATAACATTAATAATTATAATATCACTTGCGTTGAATTATAATTATATCATTATGTCACAGACGTGGTCTGTAGTTCACGTGTTAAGTCGTCTTTTCTCGGGGAGGAGCGAAGATCGGACTCGACAAAGAGAAGGAAATCAACTTGGATGCTGTGTTGTCTCAAAATTTTCCAGAGATCGGTAACTTTTCTTTCGTAATTCCCTCTAGCAAAGGCTCTACGCCGCATTTCTTCACCGTGAATCACTCACCATCTTGCGAGTGCATCTCATGCAAGCCTGAATATTTTCGTGACATGAGCGGTATTCTCGTGTGAATAAAAAACCAAAAAGTAGCGATTTCTAATCCTTTGGAAATAAGACATTTAGTCTCTAAAACTTATATTCTTATTAAAGACAAGAGTGCTTACAGAAAGCAACACTGAAGCCCCAAAGGGTCATTCTAGACGCCATTTTCTTGTTTTCAGCTGTTGGACACAGGAGAAGTTTGAATGTTATGTTTGGTTTAAGAATTTGATTAAATAACGCATTTTTTTTGTAGGTTAAGTGCCTTGTATGTTAGTGGAATCTCATTATAGATCACAGATACCGTGGCTGTTTACCTCACAAAGCATTGGAAAACGACAAGATGCAGCTATATCACAAAAAGCATATTATTTTTTCAAGACACCGCTGCGCTTAACTGAGCCTTTAAGGGCAACTTCCTGAATCACATTTTAGCACACTTGATAAAAAGAACAATTTACTACAATTTAAAAATGTCCTAACGCCAGAAAGGCGGGGTTATAAAGAGATTCTTTTAAAATTTACCTCTCGCCTGCCTTTACAGTTACATTTTCTCCAGTGATATGATTCCGCTGATGGTTCGTTTATTCTTACCTGTATTTCCGCTTCTGTGAAGGCGCCACTAATAAACGCGTTATTGTTATTATCCCAGCGAAGAAAGTCTAAATGATAGTTAAAAAGAGGTATGGAAAAAAATCAATAACTTATCCTTCCTTTTCTAAGGCTTAAGCGCAGGACTTCATGGCAGATCTGAGTAACGATGAATTTATTTACCAGCCATTGAAATAAAAAGTATATATTTAGTAATTCATAATTGCCTTTTTAAATATTGAGAAAATGAAAATAATCGTTTGTCCTTTAGAATTTAAAGATCCGCCCTTTACTCGGTTTATTGTGTCATTTTATAGTGATGTTTAATCTTATTTCTTCTCGTATCGACATTTTAAATATAAGAAATAAATAAATACCTGAAATGCATTTTCGCTGCTCCCTCTCTTCGATTCAGATCCAGCGGACTTTAAATATCAATGAACGCATATACAGAAAGCCGTCTGCAAACAGCTTTACCATATCATTATCTTAGGATGAACATTATTACGACAGCCCTGTCCATTCATTCCAAGTTACTATGGGTACACATTCTCTAACATCTGTGCAGCAATTGTGCTTTCAGCCAGTTTTGAATTTTTAGAAATATAATCGACATGATGTGAGTCAGCAACACATTATTAAAGAAACATAAAATGCTGTAAGCGCTAGAATAATTCTACTCCCTCCCCCTCCCCTCGAGGAGGATGGTTTTTCCGAGAAGTGGTCTGATAGGAGATCACAATATGTGCCTTAAGGGGACAATTGTGGTGAAACCGGGTATCTGAAAATTCCTTAGGGAAAACCATATTGAAATTAAAAGGGAAATCTCAATACCGATTGATTGTACGTACTTTATTATTTCAATCTGACAAGCGTTAGACCGATATTTAACAGTTATTCATTGAAATGGAGGTCAATAGTGGTGGATATTTGCCTGGCCGCAAAGCGGTGAGGTAAATATTCACAACTTTTAATTGTTTTGGTATAAACAAAAAAAAAAACAAAAAACATATTTCCGTAAATATATCAGAAAAAGTGTTGGAAATTAAATTGCTAACGCGCAATTTTGTCATTTAGGCTGCCAGGAGGTGAGTACTATTTTCTAATCACTTCAATCACGCAAAAAGTACTTGTCACCTGTGTGGTATATACTTATAACTTGTATGTTTTATTACATTCGTAACTCTAATAAAAGACTCGAGTCAATATTGAAAAATAAACAGGACAAAAAAGGTTTACCGTACCGTCCCTCCCTCCCACCTACGAAGATGCCCTGTTATCTCTGCCTCTATTTGATTCGATAACTTTTTTTTGTTTTTTTTTGTTTGAACCGTTTTCTTGAGAATTTTTAACTGAGACATCTCAGTGCGACAGTACGAAAAATGCACTTCTGGGCTCGGAATTTGTTCAGACTGTAGGTCAATGGACTTCCTTTTCCTTGTAATTTGGTTCAAAAGGGGTAAACTTCAGCACTGATCACACAAGTCTATCTATTGCACTAGAGTCTGGTGCAATAGATATACTAGCATGCTTTGATCATTCTAAAGGTAGTAGAAGTGCAATCCAAAGCGCTGTAAAAGCGTTAGAGCAGTGGTCTGCTTACAACATCTTCAGTTGAACTCAGATAAGTGCAAAGAATTGATTATTGACTTCAAGAGAACCAACACCTGTTCGACGTTGTAACCGTCAACTCCAAGGAACTCGAACTTGTTGCCCAAACCACATGTTAGGGGTAACCATTTCTAATACCTTTAAATGAAATTGTCATGTCTCTGATGTAATCAAAAGGGCCAATAAGCTCACGCATTTCTTGATAATGCTGAAGCGAGTAAATATTCCGACTCATAATATCATGTGCTTCCATATTACCTGCATTAGGCCGGTGTTCGAGTATTGTGCGCCCTTGTATCCCTGTGCATTGCTGCTTATTTAAGCGGAGACCTAGAGCGTGTTCAGATAATGAAGAACCATGTTCGTATTTACATTGACATATACTTTGCGCTATTCTCCTGGCTACTGTCAGTAAAATGACAGAATCACTTTTAAGTTAAAAACTCAAACTTCCTTTCCAAGTTAATCCTATCTAACGGCTAGTCACCTCACTGTCGGTGGCTAGTTTGAGTTGCCAATCAGAGCGCAACTACAGCGCTATCCATTGTTTTAGTATAGACCAATACACGAAAGCTAATGCTCAAAAGAATTATGTTAAAAAAAATTATTTAACTAGTATCATACAGTAGCAAGCAGCAACAAATCAAGTGTATCATCAAAGTTGTAATTTTTGTAACGACGAAATGTCGTAGGGAACTACCCATCGAGCATACCTCACTCGGAGAAAAGCCCAAAGACTCTCGAACTGTATTTTTTTACTTTTTTATTTAATTAATCGGTTCTCCAGTACATAATTCTTCTTACACCCCAGCTTTTTTTATTCTTCGTAACTCTGGTTAATCTCCAAGTCTCTCAAACTTTAATTCTCACCGAGAACTTCTTCTTTGACTGCAGATTTCTGACTCTACTCTTTCGCACACTTTCTACCCTCTTCTAGTCTACTCTTCTGTCTCTTCAATCTCTACTATGTAAACTCTGAAGAACTTGCCTATAAACTCACTACTACGGTGGCCCACAAGTGTCACTGCTGCACACTGTAAAACAAACACCTTCCTGAATAAAGACTTGCTTCCTCTGTGAAATTGTTCTTATTTTCCATGCAAGTGTAAGCTTTTTACATGGAAATTGCCCTCCTCTGAAGAAATGAGCCCTCTCCGTAGAAATCAGCCTTCTCCTTAAAAATGAGCCTTCTCCTTAGAAAAGGGCCTTCTCCGTAGAAATCAGCCTTCTCCTTAAAAATGAGCCTTCTCCTTAGAGATGGGCTTTCTCCGTAGAAATCAGCGTCTCCGTAGAAATAAGCCTCTTCCGTAGAAATCAGCTTCCTCCGTAGAAAGCAGCCTTCTTCGTAGAAATCAGTCGCCTCCATAGAAATCAGCCTTATCCGTTGAAATCAGTGTCCTCCGTAGAAATCAGCCTCCTTCGTAGAAATCATCCTCCTCTGTAGAAATCAGCCTCCTCTGTAGAAATGAAGAGAAATCAAAGAACTGGTACCTAGCACCCAGGCTTCTCTCTGATAGCTGCTACCTTTTACCTTTCCCGCCATATTTAACAATCGCGAAGTTTTGCAGCTCCTGAGGCAAAAATCTGGGCCAGTATTCCACGCCGAATTATTGCCCCAAATGTGGCACGAAATTGCAGGCAGGTCAGTGATCGTATCTTTGTCAGTAGTGTGTTGTTGAGGCCTTGAATCGTTGCTTTATTGCTACAGTATTAACTTAATTAAATGGAAAGACCAATAAACATAATCCGGGTGCACAACACCTCAAAATGTTAGTTGTGATATTTAAAAATTGGCAATACCAAGAAATCTTAGGGTACTTGTGCTACCAACAAGCTTGGTAGTTGCTATTGCCTTAATTTACGAATTTTCTCTTTCAGAATTCAATGTGTTAGAGAGTGTGGTAATAGAAAAGTATTTCCATTTGGGTTATGATTACGAAACAATCACAGATCTGCTACAGGTCCACCATAGTATCACCATGAGTGTTTGCACCCTTAGAAGAAAACTTCAGAGCTATAATCTTGTGAAAAGGAAAATCAATGTTGATGAAGACTTAAATCGAAA